CAAATCTTTAAAAAAAATAATTTTATTACCTCTATTTTCACACTTTCCTCTAAATTGTTTCTATGAGAACAAAACTCTAACTTTGGTCTACCTGGGACTCCATTTTGCCCTTGACATTTCCGGTAGTTGTAATAAGCAGGATGAGATCTGGCTTCTCTTAGATGTTAGTGTGCGACTAGCATTTCTGTATGCTACAATTTCTGGATGTCAGTTCCTATCCCGTATCACATTGCTTATGTATGCATGGCTTTAAAACCTCAGGCTTTTGGACCATTAAATACTGTAAACTTTGATTTGAACTGTCCTCGGGGTTTTGGAAACCGTTTGTGAGTCTCACTCTTCTGATACCCACTGAGGGAAATATCCAGCCTGCTATGGAACAGGATCGTTAACTAAAGCAGCCACCATGAGAGGAGAAGTGCATGATGTTACAAATGAAGTCACTGCCATGAAATAATACAGATGTATTCTTTTCAGCGAATTCTTTGCAAACACCCAGTCAAGCTGAGACTTCCCTGATTATGTACAGGGAATGTATTCAGAAAATCACCAGCTGTGTTTTTCAATGGTTTAAAAGCTGCTGTGCTGTAGCATTCCAGAATAAAATAAGCAAATACCACCTACCAGCCCATCAAGTTTTTTTTTGATGCAACATCCCTTTACTTCAAAGCTTATAATGAAATTGATTTTCAGTGCTTTTTCATTTCAACTTGCAAGCCCCATGAATAACTACTCTAAAATAATTTCAACTTAGAAATGTTCATAAACTGGTGAGAAATTGATAGTGACTGTTTTATGCTTAGCCGAAAGATATTGAATAAAAATGTAAAGGAAGAACTTGCTGTGTTTAGATGAGAAGAGCCATATGATAAGGAAGCAAGGAGCCAGGAATGATTTTCCATGATAAACAGAGTAATTTAGAGCTTTCTTTAATTTTTAGTGGAATGGAACCTACAAACAGATGAGATTTCATTACATGAGGAATTGGCAGAGACTTTAAATCAAATTCTCACATGTTTATACTTAGAATGCCAGTCAGTGACTATGGCTATCTGATGGTAAAGATTCTGATGAGTTTGTTTTTTTTTTTAATATTCAGCAATCATCTAGTTATTTGGAAAAGCTCTTGTATTATTTTACAACACACACACACACACACACACACACACACACACACACACACACACACTTTTTTGTTGCTGTATACCTTGAAAAAACAACTTACAGGAGATAAGGTTTGTTTTGGCTTATAGTTCCAGTTCAACTCAAAAGAGACCTGGTGGAAAAGGTGTGGTGGCATGGTATGAGGCCAGACTGTCCCTTTATACCAGCAGTCCAGAGTGAACAGGAAGTAAGGCTGGACTATACAACCTCAAAGCCAGCCCCCAGTGACTACTTCCTCCAGCAAGGTTTCACCTCCTTAAGGTTCCATTACCTTACCCAAAGTACCAACAACTGGGGACCAAGACATATATTTACTTTGCATTCACATACATGTGTACTGATGCTTATTTTCAAGCAAGTATAGGTCCAAGTTTTATGTGCACTGAAGTTTGCATAATCTAAGAATTGCAGGGTGTGTGCGCATGCGTGCGTGCGTGCGTGCGTGCGTGCGTGTGTGTGTGTGTATGTAGGTGTGTGTGTGTGTGTATGTGTGTATGTAGGTGTGCATGTGTGTGTTCTTTTAAATAGGGGATACAAAATTATGCATGTGATATTTGGTAAGAAAATACGAACTGAAGTTCCCAGGGGATGGGGGTCATACATATTTTAAAGATTCTACAAGAGTGATAGGCTAATAAGAAATTCATGAGTGTGCAGTTGAAATGTCACCTGCTTAGGACCAAATTGTCTTGTGTTATCTTCAGTGTCTTTAATAGACATTCATTGACTACCTCTGTGTCTCACCCAACATCCTTTCAACTATCAGCTAAAACCTTCAAAATTTATAGAGCACTAGCTTCCACCAGCCCCAAGAAAGGATGTCATCAGATAACATCTAGAATCTACAGGAGAAATTTCTTGGCTTTTGTGGCCTTTCCCCCTGATGTTCTCACCGCTGTGTCTAGAAATGCATTTGACCTATGGTTTTCTTTTTGTTCTGTGACCATCAAAGTTCATGTAACTGCTTGCTTATTGGAACTTACTGTGTTGGACAAGCTAGTCTGTGTTCCTGGGCCATTATCATTTTATTTGGCTCAGAATTAATAATCTCCTATTCCCTTTGAGATGATAACGGTGTATTCCATCCATATTAGTAGTTATTTACAAAGATAACAGAAATCCCCCCAAAAACTGCAAATATTGATAAGTTGAAAGTCACCACAGATCACAAGAACTAAAAAGTTAACACTTTTGACTAATGAACTTACTAATAAATCTCTAATATATCCTTTTCCTTATGCTTTTTAATCACACATTCATGGATCATCTCTTCCTGTGATACCGATTTCAGAATACACCCTCTAAAATCCATGGGAAAGAAAGATAATTTAGTCTTCCCTCCTGCACGTATTATTGAAAATTTAGAAAAGTTTCAGCTTCACATTTCCTTCTTGATAAATTCCATGTGCAATTTTAATATTTCTGTGAAGTGAGGAATCATCTACCAAAAGAGGATATTTTAAGACCTCTAGTTCTGATAATACTCGATAAGAAATTTGCATCTGGGCTGGAGAGATAGCTCAGCAGTTAAGAGCACTGGCTGTTCTTCTAGAGGTCCTGAGTTCAATTCCCAGCAACCACATGGTGGCTCACGACCATCTGTAATGAGATCCAGTGCCCTCTTCTGGCCTGAAGGGACACATGCAGGCAGAACACTGTATATGTAATAAATAAATAAATCTTTAAAAAAAAAAAGAAATTTGCATCTAAGTGTTAACATGATGGGTGGGCCTGCTCAGCAGAGTACAACAAGAGTCTTAGGATCCACTCTTATTTTGGAACAGATAGCAGTAACAGGTAACTAGTTAACAGGAAAGTGCTCCCACCTCAAACTAAAGGTCCCCTAAGGCAGTTCCCTGGAGCAAATTACCAAAATACCTTCAACTACTTTAATGCACAGTAGAAAGATATAGTAGTTTAAACTGATCGTGACCAAAATGACTTCCTTCTGCTATACAAAAACAAGCAGAAGCATAGTGAGGCACCCTGCACGGCTTTAATCCCAGCACAAAGGAGTGAGAGGCAGACAGATGACTGAGTTTGAGACCAGTGTGGTCTATAAAGCAAGTTCCAGAGTAACCAGGGATCCCCAGAGAAACCTGGTCTCAAGAAAACAAAACAAAACAAAGAAACCAAAAAAATAACAACAACAGCAAAACAAGCCGACTAAACAAACATTTATTTCAAGAAGATGGAGTTACTCTTGATATGGAGGTGTGATGGCTTGGCCAAGGACAGCAGATTAAGAACAAATGCCTCCTGGATTTCTGTGGTCCAGTATGTGTGTAAATATTCCTTATAAATCTAAGAATGCTAAAACAAAAAATTATTGCTTTAAAAAAATTTAAAATATAGCATCTTTGCCTTATGAAAAAACAAATATGTATTTTTATGTTATAGATCATTAAATGTAAAGAACCAGCATATGATTTCTGAATTGCAATTAGCTACATCAAATAATATTTAATCATAATCAATGTAACAAAAAGTTTTGTCACAATCAAACTCCCATTCTTTTTCATAAAAATTTAAACTTATCATTTTAAAAGGCATAACTAATGCTGTTGGAACAAGTTGACAAGATGTTAGTTTACAGTACAGTTTGGATTTGAAGGACATAAAAAGTGAAGGTTTCTGTATCATGGCAACAAGGGATATTTTAATACAGTATGTCCTGTTTAATAATGTAAATTAATTATATGAAGTATCTGTCATCTTGATTTCTGTAGTGACGAAAATCTGACAGGTCTGAGGTCGATAGAATTGAATGGAACTCAGCAGAGACGAACCTTTGGTGTCGGTAGCATTTTTATCCTAAGATGACGGGACCAAGGCAAGGTCACAGAAACCAAACACTGTGAAAAACCTCAGTTTATCAGTTTAATTTAGCAAACATGAAATGTGCCCTGTTTACTTCATGAATTAATTCTCTGCGGTTTTTGAAAAGGTATCATATAGGAGTAATCTGTGCTCTATCTTTCCTAAATCTGATTTGCTCTTATTGAAAAATGATCGTATCCCATGTAATTCAAGAAGCAGATTGTGGCTAGGGTGTCTAGCGCAGCAGATAATATTGAACATAAAACGATATGTAATCTTGTGAACTTTTTTTTTTCTTCACTTTGAAACATGAGGCACTTATCAGCTTACACAACTCATTTCTTCAGGTTTGGCTTGATGGGGTGGGGTGGGTACTAAGTCATTTTTATCTCTTTTAACCAGGCTGCCCATTATGGGGCATCATTTTAAGTCCACACTTGCTGCCTTCTGGCATCTCTAGGAGCACGTCTTCGGAAATTCATATCTAGGAATTGAAGAAAAAATGTTCCTTCCCACTCCAGCCATCCTAACTTTCCTTCTCACTACACCGAATGAAGGTCCATCTGGGAATGACTTTTTTCCTATGTACCCTTACCTTCCCTCACATAGGCAACTCAGAAGTTCGTCCAGTTACTTCTTTCAACTCTCAGCTGAAGATACAAGGTTTATGCATGGTTTCGAACCCATGTGGACATACTGCTCATGTTTGAGAATCTATGGATAAATAACGAATCACTTCAATATAATCCAAGTACAGTTGGTTTTGAAGGATTTATTTGCTTACCATGGATTAAGATAGGCTAGTATCACTTTAGAACTCATAAAGAAGAGGGGAAAAAAGGAGAAATAACTCCAAGTGGCTGCCGATTCAACAACACGTGATGTCAGGAACAAGGACAGAATCTCTAGTTAGTGGAAAAATACAGGACCCCCCCCCCATAACACAGGGAACTAGATCAGCTTATAGTCAGGTTGCCTAGCAACAGGACATTGAGTCAGAGCCCTTGACCCTCTCACCCTGTAAACATCCTATACAAACATCCTGTTAGCTTGCCCCACCTTATGCAGATGACAGCTTCTTGCTCCCCCCACCCTGCCGGAACTATATAAACCTTTGTGGAAGGAAATAAAGTGGCACCTTTATCAGAATCTAGACTGGGTGTGTATTCCTTTGTATCTCCTGTCCCTACATTGCCTCCTTAGGGTGGTCGAGAACCCGTTGTAGCCCTGCAGGCGGGGCAACATGTGATACACTGCCGATAAAAGTATCTCTTGTCTGGGCAGTGAAGGAGCTTTGTGGACAGCCAATCTGGCTGCCTTTGGTCTTCTCTCTCTGTAAAGACCTCTGATCTCTAGCATCTTCAAAGATAAGTGAGCATGACGCCAGAAGCAGCTATGTGAATGTACATCTTTATCGACTTCCTTCTGGTTGGCATAGAGACAGGAGTGTGAGGGCCAATGGTATACATCTCTTCGCAACAGTATTCAGTGGTACAAACTGCAGCCTGAAATAGACAAAGTATAAATCACACAGGAATCGGCAGAAGCTGAGTCAAGAAAGGAGTCAGCGCTTGTAAGCCGCTTCCACCATTTACCCGCACATCAGTGAAAGGAGGATGAGGGATGAATAATTCTCAACATTGGCTTACAACGCTCAAGATTTCCTTGCCTCTGTACTTTCCTTCCCAAAGTCCCTGGTTCTGGGTCCATGAGTTAATCACAAAGTCAGTTAATCTTACTAAGTTACAGTATTTTAATTTAGAATTGGGGCGAGGAATCTCTACCTTTTCACAGCTGCCTCTGGTTTCTTTGCTCTTTGTCAGTCGCTCCACTTGGCCTTTGTCTCTCCGCACAGTGAACATATGGTCTGCAGGTGAAGAGGCAATAGATAATCACCTTTGGCCCGCAAGCTGCTTGCGAAGTGAAGATTTGCAATTAAGATAATTACCCCCTTTGCAAGAAGAGAATTAATTCATAGGAGATGCTAGGTCGGGGGCTGGCCATCAGACTTCTCCTAAGTGTCAACTCTACCTCACACCAGGTTTCCCACTCCTTGCTTTGTTTTCATTTCTCTGACACAAAGAATTTTATAATCTTCCAAACCTTCAGATCAGTTGACTCACAGGCGTCTTGGATTATACAGTGTCAGCAAAGAACGCCTTTGTGACAGCATAGACAAATTTTTAAATCTTTCCAATAGGTCCACCCCTAGGAAGTTGTGTTCTTTCTTCTAGGAGAAACGTCACAAGGATATGGTGTCCTCTGAGCCAGTGTGTATCAGGGAGGAAAAGGGCACATCTGTTCTCAGTGTTGAGACTGATGTGTCCAAATGCTGAGGAACGGGTGGGCAAGAGATTTGCAATGTGCAGACCTCTGGGGAGGATGGTAAGAACAGCTCAGGTGAAGCAACTGAGGCAGAATGGAGTGGCTTACAGTGAGAGTTAGAGAAAAACTGGAGAATGCGTTTGACAGAATTCTTCTATAGAACAAAGAGCTTATTGTAGTGTTTCTACCTCTGGTCACCAGAGGACTTCACGTCCCGAATATTCTCCCTCCAGTGAGGAAGGTGTTCCTCTCCCATGTCTATTTTACTTCTACCCCCACTCCACGTGAGCTCTAGCTTAATACAGGCATCTGTAGATATTACAGGAATGAGTTAAAGCAACAACACAGATAGGACTATCTGATTGATCACTTACGGTGGCCAATATATTAAGTCACGTGAATTGTTCAGGATCTCAGAGTTCTCCTTTCAGTTCATTCAAAGAAAAGTGAGCACATGTCTGTAAACCAACACTCAGGAGACTGAGGCAGGGATATCACCAGAGTGAGAGTCCAACCAGAGCCCCTTAAGAAGACCCTGCCTCAAAACAATAACAACAACAACAACTTATCAATAGACAGCTGCTTAACTCCTCATACAGATTTTTTTTTTTATTAATGAGATTAAGATTCAGGTCCCAGGTGGAGCTCTAGGAGTCCAATCAGCAAAAGAGAGGAGGGATTATATGAGCAAGAGAGATTGAGACCATGATTGGAAAAAGCACAGGGACAAATAGCCAAACTAGTGGAAACATATGAACTATGAGCCAATAGCTGAGGAGCCCCCAACTGGAGCAGGCCCTCTGGATAAGTGAGACAGTTGATTAGCTTGAACTGTTTGGGAGGCCCCCAGGCAGTAGGACTGGGACTTGTCCTTAGTGCATGAGCTGGCTGTTTGGAACCTAAGGGCCTATGCTGGGACACTTTGCTCAGCCTAGGTGAAGGGAGGAGGGGACTGGACCTGCCTCAACTGAATTTACCAGGCTGAGCTGAATCCCCAGGGGAGTCCTTGTCTAGGAGGAGGTGGGAATGGGGGATAGATTGAGGGGAAGGGGGGGCAGGAGGAGGGAGGACAGGGGAATCCGTGGCTGATATGTAAAATTAAATTAATTATAAAATTTAAAAAAATAAGATTAAGATTAAGGAAACATCTATATATGCTGTAACAATGTTTTAGTTACTTTTCTATTGCTGTGATAAGACACCATGACCAGCCAACTTGCAGAAAAGTTCATTGAGGCTTACAGTTTCAGAGGGTCAGGGTCTATGACAACCATAGCATACAGTAGAATCAAAAATCCCTCACTATTTGTGGATAGAATGTGCACCTTAAGGTAATACCATATTGGCTATTTGTTTGACATTTCTGTACAAGAAGGAATGAGGAGCAATGATCCTGAGATAATGCAAGCAGAACCATGACCATCTCAGGCTCTGCCTCCACCTCCTGCCTGCTGCTTTAAGCCACAGGGAATAGTCTTAGAGTTTCTCTGCCTTTTCCCGCCTAGGAAGGTTACATTGCCAGTCCTTATTGTGATACCTCAGTAAAACCCCCCACTCTATCCCCTACAGACAAAGAGAAGCTTAAACCAGGATTCCTAAGTGTAGATAGGAACTTAGACCCCTTTTCCCCAGGTGGCTGTATCTGCTACAGGGACTTTTGAAAACAGTCAGGATATTCGACCAAAAGACTAAAAAGGGAGGCGGGTTAAAATAAATTATATGGTCTGTGCCTTTAAGAACTAGCCTCACAAAGAAAGGGGAGCGCTCCTTCCAACCTCCCTGCTGTGAGTGAGAGGTTTGGAAGAGCCTCCCTGGAGGCTTGTAAACTTAAAAAACACTTTACTTTTGCATTTTGTACCTAAAAGTCTCCAGTGGCGGCTTTGGGGACTGTGATCTAGGCCAGGCCAGTTTCAAGTCCCCAGAAATGATGGTGCCAGCCCCAGGAACAAAAGAACAGAGTCAGGATGTCTGATGGTAACCAATTAACCACGAGATGCCCCTCTCTAGAGATAACAAGACCAGACCCCGGAGATGAGTTGTAAAACTCCTGACAGGGCAAACAGATAAGATAAAATAAGATAAAGTCCAGGCCTGGGAAAAACTTGACCAATCAAGAATGGACCCGTACTAACCCCCTCCCCTCTAAAAAATTTTATGGGTTTTGCCTATAAAAACTAACTTCCCCAAGAAAGAGGCACTCCTCCCTGCCTCACTGTATTGGGTGTAGGAATGAGTCCCTGTCTAGACTTGTATCTGCAGAATAAACCTTGCTGTTGCATTCTGGACATCCAAGGTCTTTGGTGGTCTCTTTGGGGGGGTCACAATCTGGGCATAACACTTATAAGACAAAGAGGTTGGTTTGGCTGAAAGAGACAAGGTTCATTTTCTCATCTTTTCTGAAACAGTCTCTTTGCCCCAGGAAGGACATCTGCTTCATTTCGCCTTCATTCACCCAATGTTCTGTATTTAGGAAGATGGCCTCAGGCAGTCAGCAGCTCATTAGTATTACTGTCCAGGGCAATGGATGAGGTTAACTTATTATTAGTCAATTATCCAGACTAAATCCTCCCTCAGTGCAAGTTACACTGAAAAATCCAAAACGTTTCAAGCTCCTAGACCTATGTGGCAGGAGCCCACAAGAAGTTCACTTTACTCTCCTGTTCCAGCAACGTAATTCACAACCTTGACTTGTGTTTTGTATGTCATGTGAGCATGTAGATGCACATTTTGGAAGGCTGACTTTCAGTTTAGGACTAATTTTAATGCTAAATTTTAAGAAAATGCAACCCTCCCCAAAACCCCAAACTTTTATTTTACCATAGTTTCTATTTCTTTACCATTAATTAACATCTCTAAAGATATTAAAAATTAATATATCTTGAACTTTTTATATATAATAATATTTCTGTAATGGCAATAATATATTCATTTTCACATTTCAGTTTTAATGTATTAATTTAAATACACCCAATTAAATGTATTTTCATATTAACATAGAAAGATTATGGAGGAATGAATTTGGTATCATTAATAATCATTATGGTGATCATCATTTTATCATTTTCAGAAGATACTGAAACAGATGCAAGCCCAGACTTAATATTTTTATGGAGGCTTTTATTCCTTTCTGTGATGCATTAGAGATGTGTTGGATAACATACATGAAATTCTTTTAATCAGGAATTAACTAGAGTTTGAGTTTATTGCTGTATACCAGGCAATGTACATTTAGCTTCATTTGACCCTCAAAGGAATCCAGATCTTTGAAGGGATCCATTAGAAAATAAAGGTTATGCCTCATATTGTGGTGGATGCTTATAACCCCAGCACTGTAGAGACTGAGTTAGGAATATAGTGAGTTCAAGTTAGCCTGAGCTACATAGCAAAATCCTGTCTCAGGGGTCAGCAAGATAGATAGCCTGGAGGTGTTGCATAGCAATTTCTTCTGAGGCAAAAATATTCCATGTTGGATGGTAGCTCCCTAAAATCCAGAATGTTTAAAGGGAAGTGAAACATTCCTTCCTTCAGGAAAGTACCTTAAAACTCAAAAAGTAAACAACTCAGAAGTCTCAGGAAGTCTCTGAAACTGACCAGATGTACTAGACACATCTTTCCCACAAGGTTATATAAGCAGTAAGGATTGCTGGGAGACACTCTCAGACAAGCCACACTGCCAGAAAGAGGCAGAGACAAACCAAGACATCTCAAAGAAGCCCACATCAATAAGGCTTCCACACCAACCAGTCAAGCTACTTGAAAGTTGTGCAGTGAACTCCATGTTTCCAGATTTTATGAGCTGTCAATCACGATGGGGGTAGGATTTTAGTAATGCAGCTACCTTTGAGTGATCTCTGCTCCTGTAATAATTCCCCACCCATACTCCTGTAAGTAACCCTAACAAACTCAAGGGTTCACCAGGTTGGACATTGGTGATATTTTTTACTTTGGTTTGTCTTCAGTTCCCTATCCAGAGTTAGCAGACATTTGTACATGTCACCCCAGGAATAATGTCACACAAGAAGGTAAAGGCATTCTTGGCCAAGCCTGATGACCTGGTTAGATATCCAGGCCTCAGATGATAGGAGAGAAAAGGCCACCACAAGTTATTTTTTGACTTCCAGTGTGCATTTGCACACACACACAGAGAGAGAGAGAGAGAGAGAGAGAGAGAGAGAGAGAGAGAGAGAGAGAGAGAGAGAAGAAAAAAGAAAAGAAACCCCAAAACAAAAACCAGCAACAAATGAGTGAAAGAAGATAATGAAGGTTGGGGAAGTTAAGTAATTCTTCACAGCAGTGAAAGGTAGAACCAGTATTGCCAGGCTGCACCAAGTTGGGTAGTTAAAAGGATGGAATAATGTCTCTGACATTCACACCTGACAACCTCAGAAATAAATGCACAAACATGAACAATATCAGTGTGGTTTGGTGAGAACTGTAAAAGAAAAGAAGGCCTATAAAATGGCACATGAATGGAGAGGAAGGAAGCAGTAGATACTTCTGGGCAAACGAAATGTGGGTTCACAGAAATGTCTGAGACAGAAAGGAAATGAAGAGCAAGTGAGTAAGGAACAGTCTAGTAAGTAAAGAGTCATGGAACACTGGAAGATGTTTGCACATTCAGGAAATAGCGCAGTTTGGTCCTGGGATAGAGGTGCTTGCAGCAGGAGCAGGAATTTAATTTGGCAAGCCTCTGAATTCACTCTACTGAATAACTGAATATTAAAATAGTGTATAAGGGTCAGGGAGTGTAAGTTAGGGGTTAAGTGACTAAGACAGGACTTAAGACTTGCTCAGTTTTAA